AGAAGGCAGGTCAATCCCAGGTATCTGGGGTTATGGACAGATTCCCTCTGCTGAGTCAGCTGCTCCCCCCAGTACTCCATTCCTGCCCTGTCCTCTGAACCGTAAATGAATTGGTTGATACAGGACAGAAGCACCTGTATTTTTTATCAAGTGTAACAATTTATGGTCTGATTTCAGACATTAGGTTCCAAGGCCAAATTCATTTTGAAAGCATCACAGCAGATAAGCTGGCATTAACATTACACTTAAAAATAGTTATCATCTGATGCATTGTTAGCCTGAAGGCACATACATACAACAAAGACTTTCATATATAACCTACATATACAACACAAATCTCTATTAAAATATTTTCCTCTCAGACTTTTGCAAAGTGTCATATTGCAATTTTCATTTAAATGTAAACTGCCTTTAAAGTTAAAGTGGCGATCTCCAATGACACATCACCAAGATAGAACAGCCCGAGGCAGGAGCAGCGCCAATAAATTTGGCCTTTTGGGGGAGTTACACCAGAGGACATTTCAAGAGGATGTACCATGTTTGACTGCGCTGTGGCTGCACACCTCTGACTTCCAGAAAGCAACAGTTTACCAGCAGTTTTAGAAGAGATGAGTGTAATGGCTGTGTCTGAGCTTTGCAAGCCAAATCCTACATGGAAAGAGGAAACTGCCTTACATGGGCAAATATATCAGAATTTGAGAATGCACACCTATGCAGTGTATTTTTTATTTTATTTATTTATTAATTAAAATATTTTGACTTTATTATTAAATAAAATAATTTAATTGTATTTAATACTGATTCCTCTTAGAAGAAAGGGAAATATGGAACATTATTTTCCAAAAATCAAGTTTTTGTTTCAGGAGGGAAGCACAACTGTCTGGTGTTTGGAAGAGACAAATGAACCAAGGGAGCACTCTCCTCCAGCTTCAGCCCTCCCACGGACTTGCTGTAATGCCTTTACAGCACATTTGACTTGCCCTGACAACTGACCTGCATTAGAGAAGTGCTTAGAGATCTTCAAATGAAGAAATGTTCATAACTAAAAAGCATTTACTGTAATGAAGCCCTCAGAAGAGGCTCTGCATGCTGCAGCTGATCTTTAGTGTAAGTGTAATTGCAGTGAATGTTGTGGAGTGTACTTTTATTCCTCTTCTGCATCCATTCAATATAATTTTCTGAGTAAAACAAACATCTGTGCACAGTTGTGGAGGTGGGATTTTTACACTAGTTATAGCAGATGACCTTTGGTTTTTGTTTTTACCTAACACATCTTACAAAATATAAGCCAAGTTACAACCCCACCTCACACTTTGACCTTTTAAAATTTACTTTTAAAAATAGAGGTTATCTTTATGCTGCAAATTATGCCTTTATAATCCCATGTCAGATATCACAGTCCCACTTCAATTATGCTAAACTCTTATGTTAATTTTAAATCATGTAACTTAATTCCTGGCAAAGCAGGCTGGTGATTTTCAAAATGTGGTTAATGAGGCAAAGTACAATCTAGATTCTGCTACTGAGATCATCTGAATCCCTTAGGTCACTGAAGATGACTATGGAGAGGCTCTTCTTTACAAAAGTCTGGGTTAGATTTTCAAAAAATGAATTTTTAAGTGCAGTTAGGGGCTATGAAATTTGAAGTTGAGCATACAAAGAAGTTAAATTACTTTCACTAGAGCCACAGAACAACAGTGCAGCTATATATTATACTTCTGTGCACACACATGCTTTAAAGGCCTTAAGTAGTGTCCTCCCCTTTTAAATCACAAATGCAAACTGTACCAGATTTTCAAGATGACAATCCAGGGACCTGATGTCTGTCCACAGATGCATGCAAATCAATGTCATTTTCTCTCTCATTTGCAGAAGCCAAACATTTGCTAATAACTTTTTCACCCCCGCCTTGACTCAAACAATAGCTTTATCTAAGACCAGTTAGTAGATGAAATCTTATGAGACTGTACAGCTTTTTCAATACAATTACCTCCCCCCTGCCCGAATCTCTGTCATTCCCTGATCAGATAGGCTGAAAGTTTGTCACTAAAGCGAGCTCAAGGTGAAGCTTAAGTTCTTCAGAGACTTTGTCATTTACTATTTATTTCTCTGAATTAAAGAATTCATACAAAACTCATACATAAATTGGCCTTCAGTCTTTATTAGCATGTTAAACTTGTTTTCCTTAGATGTTTTTTGAAAAATATTGGTACATGAGCCATTTTTTTTTGCCTGTAAATGAACAATTAACGTACATCCACAACAGACAAGGCAAAGCAAATATATAGACATCCAAAGGTTGGTGTACATTTATTTTTTATTTAACATTTTCAATGGCCTCCCTACAAGGCAAGAGGGATTCATTCAGAATTTGAGGTGAGAATCAATACTTACAAGAGCAGAGGATCTAGAGAGCTCCGCTGTGTCCGTGGAAGACGCTTTTTACACCAAGGTCAAATCCAAGTGAAATCTAAGGCAATTTTCACATGAATTAGGAGGTTAGATGATACAAAATCAAAACTCTGGCAGGAGCTGCTCTTTAATGTCCTAATGCATAGACCCACATAGCAACAGTCATGAAAGTGCATGGCCAAACAGAAAAAAAAAAAATCGTGCTCGGTAAAGACACATGGGAACTCAATAACAGCCATTAACTGGAATGGCGCACAACACTGCAGTAGCAGCGTACTGGTGTCCAGCATGACGGCTGCAAGGAACCAGCTCTCCAGCATGGTGCCCTGGGGGCTGAGCCCTTGGCCATGGGGCAGCTGTGCTCGCTGTGGTGCCCTGGGCAGAGCAGTGCAGTTCTGGCGCTCCCTGCTCTGGGATGGAGCCCACAGGAAAATCAGGAGGGATTTCTGCCAGGGAAGGTGGGAGTCAGACTCCATCTTGAGTCTAAAGGGGGACATTTAGGGACACAGTTCACCTGAGGACAGGCATGCATCGGGGCAGTTCAATAATTGGATATCCTGCCCCAAACACTTCTGATGTTAACACCTATGGGCCCGTCGAGGCACAGCAACAGCTCACACAAGTTACAGTGTGTGCATTTCCCTGCCCAAGGCATCCCTCCACCTCCTTGTCGGTGCTGAACACCTGCACCTCTCAACATCTCATGGTGATGATGGCTTGTGGGCTTTTTCCTTCTCCTCCTCTTTGCTCCACAACCCTAGAGAACAGGCTGGCTTTGGCTACAGGTGATGCTAGTCACATAGAGCACCACCTCTGACTTGGTATGCCCAGTATGCTTTTACTTTTCCCCCCTCTTCTGAGGAGAAAACTGAGGGAGAAACAAGCAGCAAGGGTATGTAGGAAACAGTCTCTCCTTTCAGCAGGGACCCACAAGTACTCCTGTAGAAGTACTGAAGCTGTACATTTGCCTGAGATGAGGGAAAGGACAGCAACAGTACTAGCTGTGAGCAGTGGTTGGGAACAGAGGAAAAGGACATTTTATTTGCATCAGTTTCCCACCAGGCTGTTTCCTTATTCTATAAGTTACTATAACAAGACGCTGGAGCAAGATGCCCCAAACCACTCCAGGAAGCAAAGAATAGGTGTCATCTTTATTTTGGAAGTGCATAGGGGTTTATCCCTCTCCATTTTGCAGAGATTTCTCCTCCTCCTGGGACACCCTGGCCACCATCTCACAACACCATGTGCAACTACAGGTTGCAGGAACGACTGCGTGCATTGGTCAGACAGCACTTGAGGGAGAAGAGGGAAGAGAAGGAGAGAAGGTACCTTTTCCTTTTATAACCAGAACCGTGGGGCTCTGGACACAACTTCCTCTAGGATGAATCACAAATACCCATCCCACCACATAACACTGCAGCATCCACTCCCCCCCCCCCCCCCCCGCCGGGCAGCGTGGGAGCAGAGCAACCGCCGGAGCAGAGACTTCCGTGTCCCCTCGAGGGCAGCCCCCCCCCCGGGCCCCGCCCCATCCCCCCCCCCCCCCCGCCCCGGGATTTGCTGGCTGCTGACAAGGCAGGAAGGACAGTGAAACACAGGTGACTTCAGGAAGCTCTGGGGACAAAACCAGTCCATGGGTTTGGGAGGTAATGGGCGTACACATCTTCTGTGTAACAAATTTCTGGGAGCTGGGCTGATGGTTGGACACTGGCAGACCAAGAGTGGTCACAGCAGTTGCAGTGAAGTTGCTTCTCAGTACAGACCTTATAGTGTCCCATAGCTACCACCCTAAGGCTTTGCCCTTTCACCAAAGATGAAGACTATCTTGAATATTGGGACCACAGTATGCATCATGTGGTTGACTCCACTGTAAATTAAAATATTAATTTTAACGTATGTGGCAGTTCTCTGAAACTCATGTTTGTCAACTCTAGTGCATTGATCAAAATGGGGCAGTAGACTGGGACTTCAGATCACAGGCTTACCCAAATTTACTCTGCTGAACAGCTGAGCTGCTGTGTTATTTGTAGTTTTAAGCATTTGTGTTCAAAAGCACCTTTCAGTAAAAAACAATCAGGTCTGAAAACAGCTACAGTCTAATAGTAATCAAACAACCAAGCCTTGCAACTGCGAACGCTGCAAACGTGACAGAAAATTAGCCAATGCTTCTTTATTAATAAGTGTCAGAAAGTAAAAAATACATTCAAAAATAGTTTCAAAAACAATTTTTAAAGCAGACACACCAAAAAAGAATCATGCTGCTCTTAATGCTTTTTTTCTTAAATCATTAAAAGAACATTAGGTAAGCTAATGCAACAGCTGGCTGTGCTTCCACAGTATAATCCATAATGGTAAAAGCAGCTTTTTCAGGCATTTTAGTGCAATTTATGCTGTTTACAGGTCTTTTTTTTGTGCATTGTCCTATAATTTAATGTCAATTGATGTCACTCAAGCTTATAAAATCCCCACTAAGTCAAGACAACTCCACTTAGCAGTAACTTTGTTTCTTTTCAGGGCTAATATCAAAGTAGTTGTTCTGAATCCCAAAATGATAAATATCTATATAGAAGCCTGAAGCTATGCTGGTGCTATACAATTGGTGATGTATAATTGAACATTAAGTAATCCAAGTGATAGAAGTCGTAGGTCAGCTGTCTCTCCTCCTTAGACAATTCCTTTAAGTATTGCCTCACTACTTCTGCACTTGTTCTCTCATCAGAGGAATGTCTGTCTTTGAATTTAGGAAACTTCAGCTCGGCTGGAGCACCTACCAGCTGCAAAAAGTAACTGGTGTCTTCTTCCAGGGTTTCAAACTTTCCTATAAAATCATAGTTGATGAGGCAGGGATAGCAGAGCTTACTGACTTGCTCCCAGTGAATGTCCATTCCTACTGGGCGATGGGAATCTAGCAAATATTGGATAAACTCCTTGAACTTAACTCCCGATCCTGTTTTCAATGCCTCTTCATTTGCGTTATGTCTATACTTCTTAATTATTGCCTTCCCAAATACTGGATGGTAATAGCTGTTTGGATGTTCAAACTTATCCCTGAAGGCAGATACCAGCCTTTCCATAGGATCACGTACAAATATAATCTTGGTGTATGTGTTCAAGCGTGTGTATATCCCTTTTAGGTCATAACTGTCCAGTTTCCTTAGATGCTTTCCATAGTGCACATCGTCATGAGAAATGTTGTGTGCTGAAGCGGCGAGTCCATTGAGCACCATGAGGACCCTTTTCCAATTGGAGCAGCCTGCTTTTGGCACTTCGCAGTACAGGACCTTGTGCCTGTCCTCCACGTAAATTCTTGACACCAGGTGCACGAGGTGGGTTTGCAGCTTCTTTCTGCTGTTGTATTTCTTACAGAAGTCATGCAGGAAGGACCTGCGCTTTTCCTGGGCTCTATCCACATCCTTCCACTTGCCACCCTTGACTAACGTCTTGTTTAAAGGGGGCAATGCAGGAGGTAAATACACTCCTCTGAAATGGCTCAGAGGTGACTCGCTCATCTTCTGCTGTTCAGGCAGCTGGCTCACCAAGGAGGCAGTCACCGCACCAAAAGGGTCAGCCTTGCCCCGCCAGTGCCTGCCACCTGAGACCGCCATCTCGTGCTTACTGAAGCCAGGAGGAGTGCTCCTGCTCCACGCTGCTCTCCTCGGCGTCCCCGGAGGTGGGAGTGTGAAATCCTGCAAACATGAAAAGGAGTGGAACTTACAATGCAGCGACAGCCCAGCCCAGCCCATTCACTCTCCAACAGCAGGAAGGATGGTGGTGCACGCTTACAACCAAGCCACATTTAGTACTACAAAGTCTCTTTTGAACCACTGGATCGATACATCTAATTTAGCAACAAGCTGGGCTAATTACTGAATTACATGCTTCTAAAGCTTACCTGTTAGTGCCCAGTAGGTCTTCCTACAAAAATAAATAGCTTAAGCCACACCTTTTAAGAAATCAGAAGAGGTTCACACAGAGAGGCTGACAGTCCTGGTAGGGGTGGCCAGGTGCTTTTCTCTACTGAACACATTTTCCCCCGTGACAGCACTGGTTGAGTTGCACAGCCGCTAACAGCTCTCCAGAGTGCACTGGCACAGTCACGCTAACAGCTGCCACATCTGCTTCCACCGCTGTGACTTGGAGCAAGCCTTATCCCCCAGTGGCTGCAAGGTCAGCACTGGTGGCAGGGAACCAACCTAGGGCTCCTAACTAGCTGACATCAGTGGGTTTGAGCAGGTTGTAATGACAGACAAAATCCTCCCTCCAAAAAGTCCTATTCCTGTCCTCCTACAGATAGATCACGGAAGTGGGATGCATTGGACTGCATGCACATATGGGTGTTTGCAACACAGATGCCTGCACCTGAGCTAGCTGCTTTTATAGCTGTTAAGGAAAAATAGGTGCCTTTAGAGCCTATTCCATCTGACTCATTTAAACATCAACATTAATGACATCAACTAACTAAACATCAACTAGTGACCCTGCAAAGAATGTGAAAAGACGAGACTTTCCTCCCAAACATCTCTTTTATTGTCCCCAGCCACCCTGCAATCCGCAAGCTGCAGAAATGGCAAAACTCAGATCTGTGTTTTGCCATCACATTCTTCAGGGTCTTGTATCGTGCAAGTTGACTGAAGAGTTTCTTGCAGTTTGGGTATTTCTGCTCTCTCATTCCTGAGTGGATTTTCGTGTGCCTACTAAGGCTTGTAGATTTTTTCTCCTGCCAGTAGGCAAGCCTGCTGCACTGGGACATCTATACAGCTGCCTATTTTCATCACACTTCTGGAGATGGGGGATGCTGGTCAACAGGTTTTTAAACATCCTGTTGCAAATACCAAATAGTGAAATGGTTAGCTGGACACACATGCACAGACTCCCTGACTGCTTTCATAAGCCTAACTTTTTTGGAAACCTACATCAAAAGATTCTTCTGCCATAAAGTGATTAAACATTTACTGGAAAGTTGATTTGTGGACAGGCAGACCATAAGTGTGGATTTGGGGGGATGGGAAAGTTCATAGGCCGACTCAAATAAGGCTGTTAAAAATTCAGAGGAATAATGTAAGAAATGGTAATGCATGGAACACAATTTGAATTCCAGTTTGAAATAAAGCCTATGGAAAAACAAGCAGTTCCAAGAAAAGTTAGCCTATCTTGCAGTGTAATAATTTCCGATGACAAAAACAAAACCGGGGAATCAGGCTATTCTGTATTGCTGCAAATCACTGACGGTCAGGTCTCTGTTTTCACTGAACTGAGTAAAATGATTTTTGTATTGGTACAATACAAGCAAATAAAAGAACAGAACCATGCAGGACTTATGTATCTGTAAGAGAGGGCACATTGGTGTTTTTAGAGATGCAAAAGGATACTTGAATTCTCTCAGTTTGACGTGGTCAGTTTTTCTAATATAATTTGTTTTTTTAATTCTGTTGTCTAATATTGCATTCTTTAAAACAAACGAAACCCATGTGCCTAGAGATTTATCCCTTCTGCCTTAGGACATAAAGAATTCAGGAGCATAGTTAGTGTGTAATAACAGGAGGTAGTACTAGTAGTAGAACAGGGGATGACTATAAGCCTAATGGGAATTTCAGCATCACAGTGAATGGTGACTTACAAGTGCTACTGCAGAACTACAGACTTACAAATAAACTAAATGCTTTGACCTTAAAAGGAAAACCTGGAACCTAAAAAGGTGAAAATGAAAAATATGGGATACACAGAAATCAACCACCAGGCTCAACAGAAGTAGAAATAAAGTTGTACTACAATGATAAAGTAACCAAAGATTGTAAACTCATTGGTATGGCTCTGGGGAATTTTATAATTTAGAAGACAGTCTCCAGTGATATGTGACTGTACTGGTGTTCCCCAATGCAGAGAAAATTCAAGAGAGGGCAGCAGTACCTCATGACTTCTTACGTATGTAATCTGAATTTAGCAGTCTATTTCAGGAGATATTTCAGTGCAAAGACACTTAAACCATCTGAATTTCAAATTAAAGCCACTAAAATGAGTCCTACACTTCAGAGGGAAGTTCAGCCTTCTGAATTCAGCCTGACATCCTGAGCTAGTGGAAGATGCTGTGGTTCCACCAGGCCAAGAGGGAGAAGGACAGACTGAAAGGTCTGTGGTCTTGATTTTGTTCCATTTCAAACAGTCCACCTGGGATCCAGGACCAATCTCAGGGGATAACCCAAGGAGATACCAGAAGAGGATTGCATTTCAGTCTCAGAAACTGTGAATGCAGCTGTAGGAACCACTACTGAAGGATTTTTCATGGGATTAAAGACTTCAGAGAAAGATGGGCAGAACTATTCAGAGAAATCTCAGGTAACACCCTAAAGGAACAACATATGCACAGTGGGAGTCACTTGAAAGGGGCTCCCTCCAAGCGAGATGAGGCAAAAGAAAAAAGAACCTATCAAGAAAAAAAAGCCCCAAACAGAAAGGAAGAAAAAAAAAAAAGACCTAGGGAAAAACAATGACATGGGAAGCTCTGAGGACAAAAAAATTATCTAAATATGTAAAATACTATTAGTTGCTTCCCCTCTCCACTTCCCCTTCTCATTGAGACACATATCCCATAGTGAATACAACAGTATTGGCTAATAAATGTTATCATAAGCTCCACGAGGGATAGTGTGCTTGCAGTAAATGCTGGCTGTAACTGCTGGCTCTGTCTAAGAATGGGAATGGATAGTGATAATTTTCAAGGGCATAAATGGCTGTTACATTGCTGTGGAAGCTTTCCCACTCAAAAAAAAAAAAAAAAAAAAAGAGATCAAACCTTCCCATACACTTGCCTGAGTAGCTAGGTTAGTAGCTAGGAAAGGTGAGATGAATGAAGGGATGACTCAAGCTTTACTTTTGATTAGAAATGTTTAACTAGGAGGTTTTCTTGCAAAACTAACACAAGTTGTTGAATAGATAGTGCCATATTTCTTAAGCAAAACTACCTGACAGTCTGGCATATTTAGCTGCTACCACTCTTATGTGCATGAGTGAGCTGAAAGCCACACACTCTGAAAGGATTTTAATGTTTTATGATACTAGGCTTACACAAAGTGAGGTGCCTTCTTTGGCCTCCTCTTGTTGCCAGTGACTTTTCAATGCCCATTTTATGACACTTTAAAGATCTGAACATCTCCATGTTATGTTGATTTTTTTCACAGCAGGAACAGGAAAAGAAGAAACTTGCAAAAGCAATAATTTTTTTTTTTTAAATCTTGTCCATTATATCTATGTTCCTAACAGTCCACCCCACAAGCTGCTGAGCATCATTATTTTGGAAAATGCCTGAACATACACCAACAACAGGCAGCACTCAGGTAATCCCACATCAGTCACCAGCTGGATTCAGATCTTTCCATGCCAACAGTCCTTACCAAACTCTTTGAGCCAAGTGTCCAAGTGCAGGGATGGCCATTCACGGCTTTCCAAAGAGCTGCTAAGTTTGGGAACCAGCTGCCTGGCATGGGAGATGAACTCCATGGCCACCTTGGACAGACGCAAGGCTGTCCTTGAGACATGCTGACAACCTATGCAGCAGGTTGTGTATATTTCATCCGAGAGTTAAAATCCAGTGAAGTGTTGCACCCTTGGCAGTAATTATGCAGAGTGCCTTGTTCTCCGTTTGCATTAACATGTTTGAAAGGAAGTTAAGAAATGGCCATGAGTCCAATTTAAAAGAGTATGCACATCACTTCTGTCTCCCTTTAGCTAGGCAGGAACTGAAGACAGATTTAAAAATTAGTTTAAATACAAGGGAAAAAGGAATTTAACAGAGTGTTAGTGTGATGTTTGGCTACTGGCAGGCAACTCAGTAAAGCTGCTGAAACAAAAGGCATTTTTGAGTCATTAATAGGTTAATGATTTAGGATGGGATTTTTAATAGGATTTTTTTTGACATTTTTATTGCTGAAGATTTCCTGCTCATCCCCATCCACAAAAGGATTTTTCCTCACTGTAAAAATAAGTAGCCAATACCTTTTACACACATTGAAGCTGTCCTTTCCTTTAATACCTTCACAAGTCACTAGGGTAGAAGAGAGCGACTACTGCCAAGAATGGTTAAGACTCATCCAGTTATGCTTTGTGGTGGTTTTACAATGCACGGGTGGGATCTCATCTAGACAGTTTGCAATTAGAGCAACCCACCATGCAAAAAGATAATGCTGTATTGGAAAGGAAGATATTCCAGGGCTGATTTACAAAGATTTAATGGCTTGCAGTGCAGACAGTGCTGTGTTTCCTAGATGCTTTAGTGCTGGATCTTCATTTTTACTTACAAGAATAATAAAATTAAGTGAGCCCAACAGAAAACATAGGACAAAGAATAGTGGAGGGAAGAAATATTCTGTTTTACTGTGCTTTTCTGTACTGCCAAATAACTACATTGTAAGTATTAGTAATATACGGTTTGGCTCTCAACATCCAGCTAATATGTCTCCTGTCCTAAAACACGCTTCCTGAAATAGTCCTCTAAGATGCTTCTTAGGAGCAACTGCATGAAACACCTGGGAGCCTACTGTGCTCTGCTTTTTACTGTGGCTTGTACTTGACTGCTGCAGGTTTGAGTGCCCTGAGGACCACTGTTATACTAAATAGCTAATATAGGTGCTCTGCAAATGCATGGATATTCAAAGATGATAAAAACTTCATTCCTTCAGACAAGAACAGGTTG